GCCATGAGTAGGGATGGGCAATAAATCAATATCAACGCATATGGTGATAGGATACTGATGATTATCAATAGGAAATAAACCTGATAACAACTGAATAATGCCACTGATCTCTGATCCACAACCACATGGCATTCTGGGAGATCAACAGAGGAACAGATTCAAAGGACTCAACCTGTAACAGCCAAACTAAAGCCGGGTATAAACTGTACGATTCTCCAGTCATGCAAGAATTTTTGATCGGGCTGACTTTCAGCCTGATCGTGTGTCATTTGGTATACAGGGGGTAACGAGGGGATCCTACATTATTGAAATTCAGTTGGCTGTGGTGTGGTGGTTGTGGGCAAATCACAAACAAGGATTCTTCTTCTCACTCTCCGATGTAAACACGGAGGCATGGCTGGGATGCAATGAGTGAAATGGAGTTCTTTTCTGTAAAATTGACAGACCGTGGTAGCCATGTTTCCTCAGCCATGTCTTTGTCCAAATACATTGTCTCCTTTTCTTTTTAGGGCTTTTAGCTCAAAATTGCACAAATTGCCAAGGCAGCGCGTTTCACTCTAGTGAGCTTCATATTCCTCCTCTCGTGGTTTGGCTTCTGGATAGAAGAGTCCGGGTAGTGGCATCTCACTGTGGAGCTGAGTCCCACATGGTTTTTAGACTTACAGTGTGGGTAGGTAGATCAGAGTACTGTCAGGTTGCACATTGTGAGAACAAACATCGTGAGCTGTGAACTTTTAAACCCTGCGATTTCGCCGTACAGTGTGAGCTGTAGCTGTGTACAACGATTGGAAAAATTGTAGAGTGTATGCCTGGCATAGGCTAAGCTGGTGGCAGAGCTGACCTGTTCCTAAGGGTTAAAGGTTATGTTTATAGGGTTATCGTTACGATTGGAATTCCTGGTCATTGTTTCAAAATCCAGTGGGTTTAATCAGGCTCAGAGTTTGGCAAGGGTCAGCAACATTTGGAAAAACAACTCACTCAAAGGTAAGGTCTGGGCAAAGGCAGTGAACAGACAGGCATGGTTAAGGAACAGGATAATTCTTGGGTCATAAAACAGGGCTTGAAAGCTGTAAAAGGCAGAGGATCTCCCACAGAGCAGGGAAAGAGCAGGAGTTTAAATAGGGAGCAGCCAGGGTGGGACAATCAGTGATCATCAGGAGAGGGAGAATGAGCACAAGCACAATGACTCCTTGAAAAGATGTTTTTATTCTCCAGTGTCAGTATAATACAGTGATCACTGAACCAGTTCAATAGAACCCCAGATACTAGAAAGCAGTCAGGATGAGTTACTGAAATCCAGTCAATGTTTAGACAGGGTTTATACACTGACCTTACATGTGTTTCTGGGTAATAACATCATAGTGATTGGGACCAACTCAGTCTTTAAATAACTTATATTAGTGCCAATAAAGAAACTCATTCAGAGCATTAATGCTACACTGAATATTGTCCAGGTCCTTAATAATCCTCCATGATGCATATGTGAACTATGTGATGATTTAAGATTTAACTCAACTAAAGGTTCTTTTAATGAATGTTTTCACTTGATTCTTTGTTTTTCCAGCTGCAGTGATGTTTGCTGTGTGGACCAAGTGGAGCAGATTGAGTAAAATGTCCTCAGCAAAGACAGTTTTCACTCTGGGAGACCGGGCTGTATTTCGGTTGAGGCCTCATTCTCTTGAGCTGAATCACACGTTTAGCAGCCTTTAGCAGAGGAAGTGTTTATCACACTAACTCCTCCCTCTGGGCTCACAGCCAACTGCTAATGGAAAACTACCAGGCTGCACCATGTTGTGTGTTTAAACTTAACCAAATGACTTGTATTAAACAATTCGAACTCCTCAGTTCTTTGATTATTACAAAGAAAATCTGCAATGTCCAACTATAGCCCAACTCAAGACAAAAAACTTAAGACAAAGAAACAAAAACATAAAACTATAGAATTAAACTACAAACTTTAGTTTGAGCAGAGTCAACACAAAACTATAAATACAATCAGTTCCGTTGTGCTGATTCAGATATTGCCTCAAATCTGTGGGGTTTTCTCCTTGCTGATGTTGGAGCCCTGGCTAACTTTGACACTGTAGGATGCATCCAACACCTGCTACATCCGGTAACTGCTCCCCTTTGCCTGTGACATCAATATATTTACATTTAGTGCTTTTTGCTAATTATAATTCACTTCTACAGATGAGCATTAAAAATTAAAACACTTGGCTGCATACAGCTTAAAGTGGCAACAGACTGGATAATATTTTTTAAAAGGCTCATTCACAAAAACGCCTCAGAATCTAAAATTGTCACAGCAACTGAATAGTTTCGTCCTCCCCTGAACTGAAGGAAAGAAGCTTGATTTAAGTAGCAATGCTGAAGCTTTTGAAACATCAAACAGGATTCCAACTAAATACAGGAGTTGGAGCCTTTTAAAATGAATTTAATCTAAACATAAATTCTCAATTTATAAGCCCCTTTTATAAGCCTCACTTAATATAATAATCTTATTTTCTTTCAAAAATAATATTTATTTCAAAAATAGCTAAAACTTATACAGAGCTAAAATGCTTGTATGTTCTTCTAAAGTAGCTTATAAAACTCGTCTGCTCTCCTTAACACGCCCTAACAGCGTGTTTCCACCAGGACATTTGTCCTCATGGGAAACTAAAGCCTAAATTTCTCAGAGTCCACCTTGAAAAGTAGTGATCACCCATGGTCACTAGACGGGCAGGTATATCCCAGAATGCTGCATCATGGGGTTTGTTGTCACAGCGGCCCCCTGTTACCTATGGCTGTCCCTACCTGACAGCAGTGACCGATAACAAAGATGGCACAGGCACCACACAGTGGAGGTTGATTTACATGACTAACGGGCAGCGAAAATTTGTGATCATCTGTCCGAATGGTGCAGAAAGAGCTCACTTCTTTCAGCCAGGGTCAGCATGGAGCAGCTCTGCATTCAGGAATGGAGGGGCAGAGGAGCACAATCAGAGCCTGCTTGAAGTTTATTCCAGCTGTTGGCAGCTCATGCAGGTGGAGACGATGTGAAGCTATTGTGACTTGATTTAACCCAATGCAGAGTTTCTGTCCTCAGCCACACTTCTGACAGCAAACCTTTATATCTTCTACTCTCCCTCTGCAAGACATTGACCAAAACAGGAAGAGAAACATGTCTGTATTGAAGCAGCTGCTGTTGCTTCTTCCTGCACAGTCTGACTGAGCTTGCTGTTTAACTCCTCCATTCCTTCAGGGTGAACATTCCCAACAGAACTGGAGGTTTTATTGTCTGACTCCAGTTTTTTTATAACCAAATCTTCCAACATGCCAGAGGTTTTCCACCTCTAGCTGCAGCAGATCTGTAATCTGATCCTCAGGCTCTGAATTTTATATATTGGTGTAAAGTTGTTCGGCGTTCCCACAGGTCTGCCGTTCAGCTGCTGCCTGTGACGCAGCAGGTTAATCTAAGCAGAAGTCAAGCCATCTTTAGCAGAAAAACAGGTCCTGTTCTTTTAGGTCTAAAGCTGCACTTTGCTCTGTAAAAACAGGACCTGTTCTTTTAGGTCTAAAGCTGCACTTTGCTCTGTAAAAACAGGACCTGTTCTTTTAGGTCTAAAGCTGCACTTTGCTCTGTAAAAACAGGTCCTTTTCTGTGGCAAATCACAAACAAGGATTCTTCTTCTTCTTCCTCAGATGTAAACACAGAAGCATGGCGGGGGTGCAATGAGTGAAATGGAGTTTCACTTTTGCTCAGCCATGTCCTTGTCCAAATAAGTCGTTGCCTTTTCTTTTTAGGGCTTTAGGGTTAAAGGTTATATTTATAGGGTTAGGGTTACAATTAGAACTCCTGGTCCTTGTTTCATATGTGTGATGCTTGTATTGTGATTATATTTGAAGCTCTGTAGAACAGCCCTAGTGATGAGTAAAGATAGCTTTAACTCAGAAAGCAGCCTGTGTTTCCATAAGCATGTGAATCAGATAACAGCCTTTACCAGAGCAGTTAGTCCTTCACTGACTAACTCCTCCCTCTGCATTCACTACCAGCTGCTGATCGGCGCCACTGTCTGAACACAAGCTAATGGCTCTGATCATTCAAATACTAAAAGGTAAAGACTGTCCCTGTCAGGTTCATCCTTATTATTAATGAGACCTGATGGCTCAGATAGAGACTAGAACTCTATCTAGACCATAAATTCTGTCCTTTTTTTCATCATTTGCATTTATTCTCACTGCCTGCAAAACAAATTGGCTCATTCCGTCTCTCTTTTTTTCATCTTTGTTGATCCCAAATAATAACCAGTTTTTCTCAAAGAGATCAGAACCAAGAAAACAGGGAACTTCATCCTAAAGCAGGTTTTCCTCCTTCCTCTTTATTGTGGCTCATAGACAGTTTCTATAGAGACCAGCTCTTCCTGTTTGAGTTTCTCTAACATGTTTGAATCTTTCTTGACCTGCAGCTCTGACACAGGAGGACAAACATGACTGTTTGGCTCAGAGGTCCCTGTGCTTTGCTGATCCAGATCAGAACATTGGATTATTAATTAGTTATTAATTAATCAGAACCAAGTCTTTTTAATATTTATGTCTTAGTGTTACTGCACAGAGTTCTGGGATGATTAATAATCTACTGCTTCAGAACCTTTTCAGAAAAGTCCTTCATGGACTGGAATGTGAAGAGGTCTTTTAATAGAGGTAGAACAGCCCTCCCCAGCAGGAACATGCTAGGCGGGGCCTAAACATGTTTCAGAACAGACAGAGGCAGACTAAAGGGTGGGACTGGTTTTCTATCTACGCACAACTAAAAAATCAGCTATGCAGACATTAGAGGGAACTACGACATTTACTGACGTGAACAGAGCCATGAATCCCCCCAGATCTGGAGCCACTGAGGGGATCAGGCCAGCAGGAAATGTAGGCAGCAGTCCTCCCAGTTTGTGGGACTCTGAATTAGGAAGCAGTTTAAACTCAAGCGAGGTGAGTTTGTTGTCTTTTTGGCTCAAAAATAACTCATTATTTTAACAGTAAACTGTTTCAGACTGCTGCTCTCTACAGAAAAGATCTGGATTTAATCCTCATTTCTTTCCAGATGTGAAGAAAAGTAAGTAGTGTGACCCCAATGTTTGTGTGAAGGAGGAGGAGCATATTTAGTAACTGGTCATGAACTAGATTGTAATGTGAGACTGTTCATAGTTCACAGATTGTAGGGCGGAGCCTGCTCCTTAGGGCGCCCCCTGCTGTCCAAGGAGGGTTTAGGAGGAGGCATGGTATCTACTGTAGCAGTGGTTATAAATGTCCTGTAAACCCTGATCAATGGATCAGTTGGATCAGTTCTCCTCTTTAATATTTCAGTCAGCGCTCAGTGGAAACTCAGGGCTTCAGGTCTTTGTTATTTAACATCTACAGACCTATTTTGATCTCTTTCTGATTGTTCTAAGGCTCTGAGACAATAAAGAGACAAAAGCTGTTTGCAGGCGTTCATTAAACAAACTGCTATATTAGTAATGACATTCTAAGACCTTAGCGGCTGTAAAATCGCTTGCATTCCTACACAGAGGAAGTTATAGTCTGCAATATCCGCCCCTCCTATCACTACCTCCATTCTTCAGGTACACCAAGGGCGGGGCTGTTGTTCTGTTCTCACTAGTTGGCTCATTAAATCTCCATGTGGCTTCAGAGTAGCGAACATACTGGACAGCTCTGAACAAGGAACCGCTATTAGAACAAACCTCTGTGAGCGCCTCATAACCACTCGGTAGCAGAAGTTTAACCTGCACAGAGATCAGTCTCAGCTGGATTGTAGAGATTGTAGCTGACTTTCTGGATCTAACAGACATGGATGTTCTTCATTTATTCCCATTCTTACTTGTTTTCTGGACATCTCCTGTGTTATCAGCTCAAGGTGGGTTCTCTTAATCCTCGCAGTGTTTCAGTGATTGTCAGAGGTGTTTGGTTCTGCATCTGCTCTAAATAAAAACAGCATTACTGCCTTTAGGTTAAAGAAAAGCTAAAATGATTGACAGAGGAAGCAGCATCAATGTTAAAACATCACTTTGGAAAGACAGCATTTATCTGATTCAGGTTGGGTTTTTGAAGACAATGTCAAACAGCTTTTAGCT